GTAGCCTTGTTCCATGAGTTTATTTATGACATAATTCCACTTTTCAACAAAATTAGTTTTAGTTATTACATGTTCTTGCAAATCTGATTGTTTCACCTTTGATAACCCCCTTTGAAAAAAAAGCCTCAGTATACAAATTGAAAAGTATCATTTGTTTCAGTGTGTTGTGTCATCTCATATCGAGATCTTAGTTTTTTAAAATGGTTTCTTTTAAATATTATGAGATCCAGGTATGTTAGCTAAGGAGTATGTGTTTGTTAGGTATGATGTACCCGGTAGTTTGTTTGTTGTATTTATAAGATGTATAAGATCTGTTTCTGTTCCCGTGAATATTAGGGAAATATCGTTTCTAAAATAAAGCCATATATCTTGTATTTCAATAATTTGCAATTTAAATAGGACGAAAGATAATGTCTTCTACTTCTGGCCAGCTCTGGGAGCCCATCTGCAACCACATGGATATGAAAATTTAGAGTAGTATTTGAATGCGTTATGATTCAGTAATAATTCTATCATATATCTAGGTTTTAGTGGTACCTTGACTGATGTGTTGTTTAGGTATATTGAGGTGTAAACATTAAAACTACATCCATTGTAAACCAAGATTCCAATTTCAGGAATTCTAATTTCTTCCACTTTGAGGAATATTAACTGTGTTAATAGGGAACTCTCATTTCAAATTATGGTACACATTTTTATTCGACTTGCATGCAATATATAATTTTCAATTTCTACCACTAGAGGGCCTCGTCTACATGTCACTTCAACAAATGTGGCTCACTGCCTGAATCAGCAAAAACAATAAGTAAGTGAGAAAGTAATATATATATATACCTTTCTTCTGTTGTTTTCACAATGAACTCTCTTGCTTTATTTCCAACCACAAACCTATGAACAGAAACAACAAATATTTATGAAAACTAGGCGCATACATATGGTACCAGAGAGATGAACCAATAGTCAGGAAGTGAGAAATATGGAAATAATTGTGATCGAAAAGCAAATTACATGAATATATGCATATTTGTTAAGAATATTATTAAAAACTGGTGAAATAGTCGGCTCCATTCTAAGAAATTCATCTTTGTCTACGATATTATTACAAGATAAATGATTTGCTTCATTGAACACATACAACAACGCATATTTCCACTGAGATCAGTGACAAATTCCAACATGAGATTCATGCATGTTTATACACAACAAGTAAGAAAGTAGATAATACTTGCGTCACGACGGCTGGAAAACTGCCATCCGGTTTTGTATCGTTTATAACATGCACAAATGGACACTTCTGATCCACAGCAATAATTGAACCAGTCAAATCTATAAATAACAATACACAAGAATTTGTAAGATAAGGGCATGCAAGTAGTTTAATATGCTAATTGTGAGATTGTACTAGCATAGGTCAAACTAATGAAACTGACATACTTTTACAAATAGGTTCATACCCTCTTTTTTTTTTAAATACATGCAAGGTTCATTGTTTCAAAAAAAAGAGGAATAATTAAATAGGTTTTGATTCACTATTCCCTGTAAAGTCATATGAATATTATACTTCTGCATTCATAATATCAATTTATCATATTTATCATAATTTCTTCACCTATGATGATGTATAGCAATAAGCCATCTATTGTCGCAGTATCAACTCAGACTCCTATAGAACACAGTAGAAATGCAGCTTTTCTTTTGGTCAGACGTGTGCCACATTTGTTTTGGGGTTTAATCCAATAACAACTGATCAAACTAACGTGGCTATAACGTAATAACGTAATAACGCGATATCCATTTTTATTTCATCAAATAACTCGAGATAGTACGAGATGCACACAAAAAGTAGATGGGTCGTAGTTCATTCAAGGGAAATTATTTTTTTCGAGTGAATTTGTTGATTGGGACGATGACGCTTATGACTGGAAAGCTATTCGGGGTGATAATTTCTATGAGAAATCCAAAAAAGATTAATAATGAGAGTTTCTTAGACTTGAAAGGAACTGCTGACAATGTGAACTTGACTGATGGCGTTGTAATTGATGTTAGTGCCAAATTTTCTTTTTTTCTTCGTACTCTCCACAAATGCGACAAAACATATGCAAGTTATTTCTGTGTTTATTCTCCATATTTCTGTAATTATGAACCAAACAAGAATAGAGATAGCTAAAATTTATACTTCAGCGAAATATCAGCTTCCTATTGAATATTCATTGATTTCAATCGCTTAGTTGCATATCAAGTTTTTAAACGCATTTTCCACAGAAACTACAAAGCGAAAGGATCACTGTTGACGTCAACACTGCCATTACTGCCATGGAAATATTAAAATAATGAAAAATACTACTATAAAGTTGCTAATCATATATTCATAAATATCGTAGATAAAGTAGGAGATATTAAAAATGCTGTAACTCACCCAAAATTGGCCAATTTGAACAGAAACAACGAGAATCGAAAGGTCAAAACACAAAGTTTTTATTTCATTTCACACACAAAGGAGATAAATGTCAGTGCGTTCAGGAATCTTAACACATGTCAATAAACTACCAGCAGGGTCACCAGGAAATGTGACCTAGTACTGTCTTGTCATGTGATCTGGCATTGTCTCATATTTGGTTTTTATAGAACATATCGCCCGATTGATAATCTGATGGCGATCACCAATCTACAAATTTTGTGAGAATCTATTATTACTCTTGTTTATACAAAATGAAATGTTCATTTCTACTGATTTTTAAAATAATTGTTTCTTAATTAGCATCATAACATCTTCAATTCTGATCAATCATAATAGTGTTTTCAGTGAGTAGAAACGCACACAGTACACTAATCTCCTGCACTCCACAAATACAAATGAAAAAACTAAACATGCATTACTTTTTTTTGTCCAGAATGGTGTCTTGTAATAGGCAATGCATTTCATGGCAGAACCCATCGGTATACGCTGTGCATGTTGCAGACGTAATGGCGGTAGAGGTGGATCGTAAGTTATATGTGCTGTCAAAGGTGGAGGTATAGAAATGATGACATGATCTGCCTGAAAAACAACGAAAAAAACTTAAAGGATAAGAAACATGGAGACTGTTGAATGACCAAATATGGGCATTTACGATCTACAAAAAAGCAATCAAATATGCCAGTATATTTGTCTTAGACAAGGACATATCAATTAACAACACCTTTTATTCAAAATGTTGATAATTAATCTAGCTCTATTAGATTTGTTGAAGTCTAAGAAAAGCTGCAATAGTTTGTCAGTCAGCCATTGATATGCAAATTCAGATATCAACAATGAAAAAGAAACTCTACTATGAAGTGACATGTATAATCACCTTATACGTATCTCCATCCAGAGTTGTTACCATGACACCAATCTCATTCTGCTGTATCCTAGCAACTGCTGAATTCAACTTGACACGTTCACTTCCAATTCTTTCACTTATTTTGATACTAATCTGTTGTGTACCTCCATGAAATTTACGTTCCTAGAAAAAAAGTTCAACAAAGTTCAACTGTTCACAGTGTTACAGTACAAAAAAAAAGAAATATACTCTCAATATTGCACAATTACAAAGAAAATTAGAAGTTTATACATGTACTAACAAAAAACCTTTTTTTTTTAAATCTTCAACTGAAATGTCAGAATTAGTTTTGATAAAGAGGCTGACAAAATTAGCATAAGGAATTCATGAATGAACCTACCTGTCCACCATTGGTATTGGATGATATCCTCAGAAATCCACCACACTGAACTACGTACCATAGAAACCACAGCATTGACACTTCCTCAGGTTCAGCACACACATTAATGTTGACTTGCTGTCGAGCCAGTTCACGAACAGTTCTTGCATTGATAAAGAAGTCAATTATAGAGAGTTGTGAAATCTGGTTGTACATAACTAAATCAGTGTTCCATAAATTTTTCAATAGATACCCGAGTGAATTTGTCTTAAAGTACAATCCTGAACAAATTTGACGTGTCATATTATTCACACTGATTCACTCCACGTGAAAATAAATTATAATACGACTAATACTAAACAAATTAAAATAAGTCATCTTACTTTGTCCAGATATTCTCGTCAATCCATTGTTGCATCGTTTTATTGTCCCATTCCTTGGCATACTTACAATCCCATGGGGCATCTTTAGGAATCTGAAAAAATGAAGTCACATGAAAGAATAAGATTGGAGCACCATTGTCATATCAGCTTAAAGCACTGTGTATTTAGAATCAGCATTTGTATGTAAATTTTATTATTTAAACTGCCATGTACAATCTGCATATGAATACAGGTGTGGCCATTTACAATCTACATATGAATACAGGTGTGGCCATTTACAATCTGCATATGAATACAGGTGTGGCCATTTACAATCTGCATATGAATACAGGTGTGGCCATTTACAATCTGCATATGAATACAGGTGTGTCCATTTACAATCTGCATATGAATACAGGTGTGGCCATTTACAATCTGCATAATTATGAATACAGGTGTGGCCATTTACAATCTGCATATGAATACAGGTGTGGCCATTTACAATCTGCATATGAATACAGGTGTGGCCATTTACAATCTGCATATGAATACAGGTGTGTCCATTTACAATCTGCATATGAATACAGGTGTGGCCATTTACAATCTGCATATGAATACAGGTGTGGCCATTTACAATCTGCATATGAATACAGGTGTGGCCATTTACAATCTGCATATGAATACAGGTGTGGCCATTTACAATCTGCAAATGAATACAGATATGGCCATTTACAATCTGCAAATGAATACAGATATGGCCATTTACAGTCTGCATATGAATATAAGTGTGGCCATTTACAATCTGCAAATGAATACAGATATGGCCATTTACAATCTGCATATGAATACAGATATGGTCATTTACAATCTGCATATGAATACAGGTGTGGCCATTTACAATCTGCATATGAATACAGGTGTGGTCATTTACATTCTGCATATGAATACATGTGTGGCCATTTACAATCTGCATATGAATACATGTGTGGCCATTTACAATCTGCATATGAATACATGTGTGGCCATTTACAATCTGCATATGAATACAGGTGTGGTCATTTACATTCTG